GAAATGCTGATATCTGTGGGCATGGCCCAACATCTGCTGAGCTGAGCACAACCACTCCAACGTGGTCCTGAAGTCCAACCCGATTTATTGTCACAGCCATTTTTTACCCAAACAGAGATGATTTTCCCTGTTTTATTTCTCTCTCTGTGCAATTTCCTTGCTTTTTTCCCCCCAGTTTTTTCACTGTGCAGGGAAAGCACCACTGGATCTCTTCCCCACCCTGAGGAAGGAGCTGTGCCCAGCTCATCCAGATGTGACTTTGCAGGACAACACACTTCAGCACTGCCTGGCTGCTCCACAAGCAGCACACAAAGGATTAGGCCAAATTTGAGCCCCTTGAGCTGCTTTTCAGTATTTTAACTTTGATATCAAGGGCCTAAACATGGCTTAGGAGGAAGTTACACCCAGCAGGAAAGGTGGATGTTGCTGTGGAACCTGTGGAATTGTGGCTGCACCTCTGCATGGACCACAGGAGTGTATTCAGTGTCCCCTCACAGCACAGCACAGCAGGAATGAGCTTTTCCTAGAGAAAATTCTCCCTGGGCCTCACCTCTGCTGAGAACATCCCTCTACATCAATTTAATCCCTTCACTTCATCTGAATAAGCCATGGAATGAGTTCCTGGAGAGACCTGCTCAGCAGTTTGGGGGTGGCCCCCCGCCCATCCTGCCCAACAGAGATCAGCCATGGGCCACTGCTTGTTTTTGTGGTGTTTTATCAGGCTGCTGCATGTCCTTTAACTGCCAGCCCCTTGTAAAAGCTTGTTTCTTCTTCTCATGCTTGAAAGCATTTGCTGCTCATCCCTTCTTGGGTGGCTGAGTATAAAAGCAGTTTCCTCTCAGAGATTTAGTGTCTGCTCAAACTCAATGCTGCACTAAATCCAAGGAACACCCTTCTGCATCCTCACAGAATTATCTGATGGCTTCAGGAGGGACAAACCTGTTTGTCTTTTTGATTCCTAAGTAAAACTTCTTTTTTTAAAAAAAGGTTTTTCTTAAAAAAAACATTTCAGCCGTGTATCTAGAATCAAAGCTGCCTGGTGATCCATGAGAGATTGGACACTCACCAGTGCTTTCCAGGGGAATTCATGCTCGGCAAGGAGGTGATTTTTGTGGTGTATTGTGAAATTTCCCTGTACTTGTTGACTTTAGATTGGTGGTCTATTTGCAATTTTTGTACAGTATTTGAAGAAAAAGTTCAATACAACAGAAGCAGGACAGGAATGATCCCCACCCCCTTGTTTTTAACATTCTGTGAATCTAAAAGAGGGGAAAAAAAGAGGTGGATGGCACCACGGGAAGATCATGACAGTAGAGCAAATAGTGTGGGTTGTGGCCTGTGGTGGAATGTCAAGATCAAACTTATTGTGGCTTTTGCAGCTTGGCTAATCCGTGTTGTGAAAGCTTCTGTATGTGCACCTGGGGCACAGACTGCCTTTGGAATCAGGGATGGAGCTTTTCCCTCACAGACAGTGGAGTCAGTCTGGAAATTAGTTTAAAAAGGGATGATGCGTCCAAGTAAATTCGCCAGATCCTTCTTCTGGCTATGCTGACAGAATTACTGTATTATTAACATTGTTCTTCCTCACTCTCTTGGCTCTAAGTGTATTTTTACAAGGCTTGTAAAAGAAATAAAAATAAATTAACGGATATTCTGGGAAAATTAGAGAATTGCAACTTCCTACAGCATTTTGTTTAGACTGTGTGTAAAAATACTCCAGAGAGAAAAAATCCTCTGTCACAACTTAGAAGAAGTTTGTCTGTCTAAAGAAGGTTTTATCCCCCTTGTCTACAAAATCTTGTAGTACAAAGCTACAGATTATTCTGCATTTGGGACTTTTTCCCTGTTTAAAAACAGCTTTGTTTTCTGTCTCCAAAGCAAATTTCCCAGCAGAACTTCAAACATCCTTTGTCTGTCTCCCTTTGGAGAGTGTTTCCAGGAACCAGCAGCTCTGTGTACCCCAGTCATTTGCATTCTGTGCTGTAAGTACCCAGAGAAAACTTGTTGCCTAAATCCCGGGTTTCCCACTTGGAAAAAATTCAGGCACGTAAAAGAAATAAACTGAAAAGTTTGCACCAAGTGTTTTGCTCAAGGAGCAACAAGAAGGAGTTTTCAGTTAAACTCCCAGAGCAAGTGGAGCCCAGATGTTTTTAGTAAACAGTTTTCAAAACTCACAGTTGAGATCAGTGTCAAATTTCCAGACACATGATGAACCTTGGAGCCAAGTTTAGGATTGCTTTTGTGTTTACATAAAGCCTGGAAGCTGAATGACACTGAAATTTGTGGATGTAGTGGAGGTTCTCCATAACAAATATTTGACTGGATGAAATTTCTCTTATTTACAGGACTTTGAGCTTTGGGGAAAGAAAAAAAAGGTTACTGTATTTTTGTTGATCTTACATTTGAGGTATATTCAGCACTTTCTTGCTCACTGGAACAGTTGTTGATTTTTAATTTGGATCTGTTATTATTCTGGCCATTAAACCAGCACAGCAAAATCAAGTGTTTTAAAGCTGGAGGTAAACCATTTCTACAGGTGAGAAATGAAATTTGTGCATTCCTGGGCATTCTGGCTCTCTCCTCACACCAAGGCAGCCCTCTCGCTGAAGGTGTAACTGGATGCCTAAGCCACATGCCAAGATTTTTGCTCAGGGACTGTATCAGCAAAAATGTCTCAGAATTTAATCTGGGCAAATAGTGTCCAGTATTTGTTTAGGAGTCCTGTTTTCTGCCCCTTTGGAAAGCTCATGCATGAGAAGGGCACGGGTAGAGTCAGGATAAATTATATTAAAGTGGGGGTAGGAGTCATGGAAACTTCCCCTTTGGATGTATCTTGGTCTCTGACCTAATAGCCTTCTGTATCATATGCAGACACTCACCAAAGAAGCTCTGATTAGTTTTGCATGCTTAAAACTCAGCTTTACTATCCCTAACTTGGCAGATTTTGAGATCTGTGCCCTGTGTACAGTAGCTAAGCTGTAAACAACAAGAGCGTTTGCTCCATTGTTTCTGATGGGATGTCATCCAAGGGAAAACAGGGATTGTCTTCAACAATTTGAAGCTTGTGTAGGCAGACAATACACTGTTTTTTCCTGTGGGCAGCATGAACATGCTTCTACTTCAGCCCAAGAAAGCAGCTGAGAGGGATGAATTCAAAATCCACACATGCTGCTGAGAGGATGGGACAGGCCCTGGCCAGCTGGGAATGTTGGGGGATAAAAAGGCACTAAAATAAGGGCAAAGATTTTCTTCCTAAACAGTAAAGATTTTTTGTCCTAAAGAGCTTTACAGGCATTCTTGGAAAGAAGCCTGCTAAAAGCATCGCCTTAATCAGGCTGGGCTTTCCATCAAGTGACTTTCACGTTTAGAAGGGAATTCTTCCCTGTGAGAGTAGTGAGGCCCTGGCACAGCTTTCCCAGAGAAGCTGTGGCTGCCCCTGGATTCCTGGAAGTGTCCAAGGCCAGTATGGATGGGGCTTGGAGCAAACTGGGATAGTGGAAGGTGTCCCTGCACATGGCAAGGGTGGAACAGGATGATGTTTAAGGTCCCTTCTAACCCAAATCATTCAGGGATTTTATTATAAATGCATTTTCATGAAGAGCAGCACAAGATAAAAGGAGGCCTGAACCCATCCATGAGGATATGAATAATGGAATATTTGATATGAATAAAGGAATATGAATTAAAGTTGAAATTAAAACAGTAATTTGAGACAGGAAAGATCTAGGAATGGCTGAACCTAATCCCATACGAGAGCAGAGTGGTGAATTCTTCACCTTGGTTACCAAGACATGACCCCCATGGCTATGCAATCCCGTGTTTCCTCTCCTGCCCACATAAATCTGTTGTCATCAAATACAATGTGCATTGTGCAACTCCAGAAAGCAGAATCTGGGACTTCCCTAATCCTACTGACGTGTGGTCACGGGTGGCACAGACTGTCCAAGCTGCAGAGGAAATATTCCCGTAACAAACTTTGCAATTATGGAGGTTTGTTTGATGTTCCTGTTGTGAAGACAATCCACTGTGAGCACATTAATAAAGAAAAAACAAATTTAAAAAGAGGCTGCCCAGCAGCTACAATTTTTATTTTTTTTTTTTTTTACATAAGCAATTATGTGGGAGGAGAACAGGAGATCTGAAATGTACCTGGCAGCCTGCTGAGGCATAGGTATGACCCACGCTATGTTATAGATCTTAATTAATTATGATGGTTAACCGACAGGAGCAGCAGAAAACCCTGAAACAAAGGGAGGCCGAGGCTCCCTCTTCCTCCAGGGCATTTGGAGTGTCTGGAAAAGTGCTCTGGTGCTGCCCTTTACCCACACACAGGCACTTGTGCAGTCACGCCTGGGACGTCCCAGAGTGCCGGGAAGGGTCAAAGACCACATAAAAATGTGCAGAAAGAACCGGTGAGAGGAAAACAATTATTTAATCTGAGTTTATGGTCTGAGTACATACAGGAAAAAATATTGAATCTGAGTTTGCAGGCTTAGTCCATAGAGGAAAAATTATTTATTCTGAGTTTACAGGCTCAGTAAATTGTATTTCTGATGGATTTCAGCAGGAACGCTGACTTTGGAAAAACCAGGGTTAAACATTGGCTTGGGAAAAGCCAAGATTAGGGCATTCAGTGCTATGGGATGATCTCAGTTTAAGCAGTTTCTATTCCGTTGTAATCTGGTTAAAATTTGAGAAAGCAGAAACTAAAAGACTGCAGTGCTTGTTGTAAATTAATGACTGAATGATTGAAGAAACCGGTTTATTGAAAATAAATCATGGCACACACCGAGCGACTGGGATAGCACTAAAAGCAACTGAAATACTAATTGCATTAGCAACAGGTTCAGTTTTTGACATTTGACCTTCAATTTCTGCATTTAAATTGCATTTTAGGAACTTTTTGTTCTCACGGAAGCGGTGGTCAGGCATTGGCACCAACCGCCCGGGGCAGCGGCAGAGCCCCCGTCCCCGGAGGGATGTAGGATGTAGGATATAGGATGTGGGACACGGGTTAGCGGCAGTTTTCACACGTGGTCGAAGGGAAATGGCCGGATTTGGTGATTTTGTGGGAATTTCCCCACACGGCCCATCCCATGATGGACGCCGCTCCCGCGGCGGGAACAGGGGGCGCGAGCGGGCCCCACCCCCGATGTGGGCGTGGCCTGGGCGGGTGCTGAGTCACGCCGGGCCAGCAGAAGGGCGCCGGGACGCCCCGCCCCTTCCTGGGGGCGTGGCCTACCGCGCGGTGGTATAAAAGGCACGTCGGCGGGCGGGTAGCCCTCACAGCGCGTCGGCGGCGGAGCGAAGCGGGTTCCTGCGTCAACAGTGCTTGGACGGAACCGGCCGCGCTCGGGCCCGCCGCGCCCCCCTCTCAGGTGCGCCAGAATTACCACCAGGACTGCGAGGCCGCCGTCAACCGCCAGATCAACTTGGAGCTCTACGCGTCCTACGTGTACCTCAGCATGGTGAGGGCAGTGGGCGCGGCGGGGTGAGGGAAGGGTCCTACGGGGGATAAAGAGGCTGCACGAGGGCCTTGCCCAGCGGGGGGTTCCTGGGTGCCGGGCGGTGCCTGCGGGCCCAGCTCCTCCTCCTCCTTTTTCTCCACCTCCTCCTCCCCCCTCTGCCTTCAGGCCCGTCTGGGCCGTCCCCTGGGTGTAGGTGAGGCCCTTTTATCTCGCCTGCTCCGCGAGCCCCGCGACCGTTGCCCTTGGCGGCCTCGTTATCGGCCGCGCTCAGCGCCTCGCCGCCGGCTCTGCCCTTGGGGCCGGGCTGGGTAGCGGGAGGTGCCTAAACGAAGCCTGTGGCACCTTTCCCGCAGGCGTGCTCGCCTCCTAGGCTCGGGTTTTCCTTCAGGAATCAGTAGGAATCCGTGATTTCCTTGGGCCCTGTGTTTACATGCCTCCTTTGGCCCGAGGCGCCCGTTTTAGCCGTTCCCTGACCTCCGCGCAGCAATCGTGGTGCTTTGGGCGGACACTGAGACTTCCTAATCACGCTGTCCTGTGTTTTGGCACGTATTTTGTAGTTTTTTTTCCGTTAATTTGTTTCTGAGCCCTGTTTTGAGCTTCTGTTGTTCGGTGATAGTGGTACGCAAGCACCAGTGCCTTGCCATGAACCTCCAGGCCGCTGGTTTAAGAGCAGGGAATTCTGTAGGCGGTTGGTAAATAATTGGCAGCTGATACAGAACTTTCCATTGAATCCTGGTAATGACTCTGAAGGAATAAACAAATTGTTTGATAGACTTTAACTGCTGTTATAGGATTTTTTGCTTTCAGAAAAGTAGTTGCTGTTGAATTCATATTGTAGTTGAATTTATCTCTTGTATTTAAATATTACTTTTACTTCCCTCCCCAAAAAAAGTAGAAAGTATATTCCTTAGTCTAATCCCTAGAAAGCCTAGGGGAGCAAAAGAGCTTTATTGCAGAAGCACCTAAAAGTTCTTGGCTCACTCTTACCTGGTGTTGCAAGTCAAGACCCTGACTTGCAATGTGATCATTGTAAACAAGCTTAGGTAAACAAAGGGAAGATTCTCCATGGAAAAAAAGGCTTTGCAGGGCTGAAGCTTAATGCTCCTCAGAACAGCTATCTGCGGGCTTTCAGGGTTTTGTTTTTTTTTTTTGTTTTCTCAGAACTGAGCCAAGGACACAAACACCATTCATTTGTGCCCTTGGTAGGGATGCAGGTTAAAATTTAACCCTAGCTGGAAGGTCAAATGATACTAAGGGGAGAGTAGTTCCACATTGCCTTGCTGGCCTGGGCTTGGACTGCAGCCATCCCGAAGCAGAGGTTTAAAGCCTGTGAACTTTTTTTTTTCTTTTTTCAGTCCTACTATTTTGATCGGGATGATGTGGCCCTGAAAAACTTTGCCAAGTACTTCCTGCATCAGTCCCACGAGGAGCGGGAGCACGCTGAGAAGCTGATGAAGCTGCAGAACCAGAGGGGTGGACGCATCTTCCTGCAGGACATCAAGGTGAGTGTGGGTGGAAGGGGATGAATTTTCCTCTGGGTCCTCCCCAGAAGAGCAGCAGCTGACATGGGAGAGGCACAATAATTTGAGATATGGAGCAGTTTGATTATTTGTGCTGATTGACTAATAAAAAAGTACTTCTTGTGTAAGGAGAAGGTGTTGAGCCCCAGGTTGTTTGCTGTGGGATGAGGGCAGAACCAGAAGACAACTGGTTCATCATGATTAAATTTAACACTGAGCAGATGTGATCTGTACACTGTTCTGAGAAGTGGGACTTTGAGGGTTTGCTTAATTCTGTTCCCATGGTGCACCTCAAATTTTTGACTTTGCATAAGTGCCTAAACTTGGTCTAAACAGGCTTTGAGAAGAGTGATCTGAAGACTCCACCCTGCTGGTCTCTGGGCTCTTACAGAAAACATGTCCTGTGCTTTCCCCTTGCAGAAGCCAGACCGTGATGACTGGGAGAATGGCCTGACTGCCATGGAGTGTGCCCTGCACCTGGAGAAAAATGTGAACCAATCACTGCTAGAACTGCACAAATTGGCAACCGAAAAGAACGACCCACATGTAAGTGCATGCTCAACATGGCTGTCCAAAGATGTGGCTTTAGGCCTGAGTTGTGTGTCCTTGGAGTTGTTAAAGGTGAAGAAAGGTGTGAACCAGGGGTGCAGCCCTTCCAGATACCTTTGGTGGGGTTACTGCTGTCCTTCCAGTAAGATTTTTAAGGTGGCAGGGACTTGATGTATTCCCTCTGAAGTGTCTGTGAACAGTCTCTATGGAGACCGTTTCTGAGGGGGTTGAGTTCCATCTTTGTAAGGCTTTTTGTCACGAGGCTTTTTTGCCACAAAATTCTGGAGTTGCTTTGGAATATTAAAAGCCCTGATGTTTCACAACACTGTCTGAAAACATGTAATTCTTCTCAGATAGGAGTTTTTGGCAAGGCTGGATTGAGGTTGCTTAATATTAGGAAGAGATTAATATGGGTGAGAATCCCAACACTAGGAAGTGTCCTGGCTAAGTTAGAGGGACTTTTTAAAGCAAAACCAGAGGTGTAAGTCCTCACTGCTGTGAGCTTGCTGTGCAGTGGGGGTGTGTCAAGCTGCTCAGGACCTTGGCTAATGCTTCCTGCAGTGAGGAAGAGGAGAGGCTTCCTGAGCTGCCTGGCTTTTCAGGGTTCTGGAGCAAGTGAGCTTATGTAAGTCTGGCTCACTTTGATCTTGTTCTGCAACAAAACTAGAGGCTGCTTCCTCTCAGCCTGAAAATTCTGTATCCTCTCCTTTCCTTAGGAGAGCCTTGGTAGGATTTCAGGCCTGAATTTAAACCTCTGGTCTCCCTTTACAGTTGTGTGACTTCATTGAGACCCATTACCTGGATGAGCAGGTGAAAGCCATCAAGGAGCTGGGTGACCACGTGACCAACCTGCGGAAGATGGGGGCCCCCAAATACGGCATGGCAGAGTATCTCTTCGACAAGCACACCCTCGGGGACTGTCAGAGCTGAAGCCTTGCCAAGAGCCACGCTGTGGGTTTCAGTGGGACTCCTACTTACTGTCCAGCCGTGCATGCAGCTTCAGCTATCTAGATAAACAGTTCCATACTCTGTACCAAATATTTTCCCCTCTCTTTGTGTTTTATGTACTGCCCTCCAGCCAATAAAGTGACTTGGTTCCAGCTGGCTTTTCCTGTTTAGTTTGGAGGGGGAGCAGGCAGCTGTAGTGAAGGCTGTGGGAGGTCAACTTGTTGTGTGACATGGGGGCTTTGCAGCTGCTGCTGAAGGCAGAAGTAGGAAAACCTCTGGTTTCTTTAAATTCCTTGCAGGGAACTAAAATGAGGAAATGAAACCAAGGTCCTGGGCTTGAGCCTCTCTTTTATTTTCTGAGGGTAGGCAGTAAAAAATGAGCTGAGTGGTGTCTGCTGCCATCCAGCTTTTCTCTGAGCACTGTCAGATCTGTGGTGGCAGATGTGGACCTTTGGAAGGAAGCAGTGTGCTGGGCAGATGCTGCAGCTGTCTGTGCTGGCAGGCCCTTGCCCTGCCTTATCCCAGTACTGAAAAACACTAGCCAGGCAGGCCTGGAAAAGGCACGGTGGGTCTGCATCACAAAATACGGGATTCTTTTCAGTCCCTTACTTTTCCCTGAAGTATCTTGTTAGGAGTGCAAGTCCTGCCTGAGGAAGGACTCAAGCTCTCATTCTTGCTGTGAGGAGGAGGGAAGTATCCACGTCGACTGTGCTCCTATTCTGGGCTATGCCTGGCTGGTACCTGCAGTCTTTAACACTCAAAGTCTTGTTATTTTGCTACAGTTGGGTTTTTTTGGTGCTTTTGGTCTTGTTGCAACATGGGTTGTGCCTGCTGCTGTAGCTGAGGGCAGGAGCAGCCATGTCCTTAGTGCTGGTTTCAGCCCAGGCTGGGCTCCAGCTGCATGTTCAGCACCTCTGTTTGGGTGAGGGCCAGGATAAGGCAGGTATCCCATGGATTCCCCTTTAGCTGTACTGGTCCATCTGCTCTTCCCCTGGGCTTTCACTGGCCTCCAGGATCACTTCCATCAGCCCCACATAGTCACCCTCAGCTAGGGAGATTCCAGAGTCATTGGGGGATGGACTCTCTGCTCTCCTGGGCTCTTTGGGAGCTGGGGGATTAGTATTTACATTCCCAGTGTCTCTGATGTTCCTGGAAACCTCTGGATGCTGGTCTGGAGCACTAGCTGCATCTTCCAAACTCAGGCTGCGAGCCTCAGGGCCCAGGTTGCCTTTGTGGGACCTTTCCAGCACTGGAGAGGTGACTGGAGTGAAGGAGAAGCAGAGGGTGGTGCTGCCTCCAGGGGTTTTGTTACTGGGGGTGTGAAAGGCAGTGGAATGCTCTGAACTGGGAGTGGCTGAAGCCATGTTCTCCAGGTTTAGCCAGGATGGGTGTGAGGGTTTGGAGCTCTTCAGGCTTTTGAAGCTGCCTTGCTTCTCACGCTCAGGGGGCTCTGGCAGGAAGGGGAATTTGGGGCTGTTGGATGCTGTGGACTGCGCTCCTGGGCTTCCTGTGGTGGCAGCTTCCCTGGAGCTGCTCTTTCCTTCTTCTACTGTCACAGCCATGGAGTCGGGACCTTTGCTCCGCTCTGTTGGCCAAACAAAGGTTTCTTTTGCAGCAGAACCCAGGGAGCTCTGGCTCTTGTCCATGTCACTGGCCCTGGAAGGGGAGGCGTTGACAATGACATCCCGAAGGGAAGTGGAGCACGCAGCAATGCTGGAGAGGGCCGGTGGCTTCTTGCGCCCTTGGCGTCGGGAAGGGAAAATCATGGGGATGGAGCTGATGGGTGTCTGTGGAGCACTGTAGAACCCAGGCCTCTCATAAAAGGGGGTGGACATGAAAGCATCAAACTCCCTTAGTTTTCCCTCTTCGCTGTCCCACTGCTCCTGGGAGTCTCCCCTTGGCTGATTGATGCCACAAGGGCTTCCGGCCTTCCCCATGTCCTGGTAGGTATAATGGGAGAAGGGCGATGTGGGATCTCCTCGCCGGCGCAGCAGGTTCATCCGGGAAGAGGACCTGGAGAAGTTTGGGGACTGGACACCCAGGAGGCGACCCAGATGTCCCAGCAAGGGAGTGGAGTGGTTGGCCTCCTCATTCTCTTTAATCTGCTCCAGGGGCTGGAACTCCATCTCTTCCTTCTGCATGCTGGGAAAGGCAAAGTGGACTGTTATACAGCCACAGAGGGAGGCGAGGGATCTCCTGGAGAGGCTGGCAGCACTGGGAATTATTCTGCCAGTGGCAAGCCTCTCCCTGTACTGCCATTACCCTCCCCCCCCCAAAACAGGCATGCTCATCACACAGGTCAGTGAGGAAAAGAGGTTAGATTTATTCTTTTCCATGGAAAATGCTGACTCATGTGGATGAGTCTAAAAGCTCCTCAAATGTAATATCCTGCACAAGACCTGATGCAGGTGTTGTGACACTTTGTCCCTGCACTCACCTGATGTCAAAAGTGGAGCCCAGGAAGGATGGGCGCTTGTATTCAGCGGTGGCTGCAGTGTAGGGTGGCTGGGGATCAGGCTCATTCCAGTACAGGTCCTTCTCCAGAATGGGTAAATCCTGGTGCATCTCATCCACTGCCATGAGGGAGACCTGTGAGGGACAGCAGGAATGTCACATGGAGTGAGCAGCCTTTTGTGTGCCTGTTATCAGGGGACAAAGAAGCACAGAGCAGGTGGAAGTGGTGCAGCATGGAAGACAGGCAAGAGGCTGGGGTTGCTTTGGTTCCTGTCATTTGGGTTGTTTCTCACACAGAGATTTGATTAATTGGAAGGAAAATGGTGCTGAAGGAGACAGGAGAGTAACAGGCTCACTAGGACAGAACGGTGGGATATGTGGTTATTGCATGGCAGAAAGCAGAGGAGGCAGTTTTAGATGGACACAGGGTAGGAAAGCAAGGAGGGGAAGGAATGACGTGTCATTCAAAGGCAGCTGAGGCCTGAAATGAGCAGCCTGGATCCACCCCATGTGCCAGAGCATGGACTGCAGCTGCAGTTGGACTCTGTGTACAAAGATATGCCAGAAACCCCAAATTCCCTGGTGCGGATTGGGAGGAAAATTGGATTTTCTCTCGTCTCAGGCAAGGAAGTGGGGGCAGAGGTGTTGCAGGAGAATTTGGTCACTGTCCTGCCTTGGTGTTCCTCTTCAGGTGAGGCTCACCTGGCAAATCTTCCTCCCCTTTACCTGCAGGTTTCTGTCAATGAGCCAGTTGGCTTCAAAGTCATCATCATCCTCCCCAAAAGGGTTGATCAGCTGCTCGGCCACCTGCATGTGGAGAGCACACAGCAAAGGTCACCATTGTCATCCCTGCCCCTTTCCCTTCAGGGAGAAGTCAGGTGTGATGTCCCTTGAATTCCAAGCCCTGTTTTTCCTCCCAAAAAGGGGGTGGGTTAGAAGTGGAGGCATCCCAGGGGCTGGGAGACACTGGAATTTTTAATTCCTCCTGGCTCACACAACCCTCCTGCAACTGAAGGAGCTCCTTTTTCCCCCTCTAGTAAGGACCAAAGCCTAGGAAAAGTGCAGCTGGTGTCCAGAATGAGACAGTTGGAAAATTAGAAAGTCCTGACAGTTCCCTCAGCCCCTCTTGGCTTCCTGTTGTTGCCCTACATCAAAGAACACAGCTGGGTTCCTGGTGAGCTCACACTGGGAAAAACCCTTGGCTGGGTCAGATTCCAGCTCCAGCCATGTTTTCTTGGACTTACCTTTAACCAGCCAGCGTAGAAAAAGAATTGCAGAAATGTAAAAACAGGCACAAAGAGATCCAGCTCATGGCCAGGATATGCTTTCTCTGGATCCAGGAACTGCCTCCCGATCAGACAGGCCAGGAAGAAGCTGTAAACAGCCACGGTCACCACCTGGGGAAGGACGCCAAGGGACACACACCAGGGCAGCGTGAGTTCCCAGCATATTCCTGCAGTTCCACCCCACTCAGCTCCAAAGCCAGGCTCTGTAGCCTCTGGAAAGCCTTGGATTTGGTTCTGACAGGCTTTTATGCTGGAGGATGCATTTCCCTGCAGAAAGCTACAGACATTCCCTTTCCCTCCAGCTTTTACCTACACTGTGTGCTGTCCCTGGAATGATATCTGTGCAGGTGTCACAGGCCAGTGGCAGCAGCAAGCACATGACATCCTGGATGAGCTGGAAGCTGTCTCATGGCTCAGTCCATGCTGGCAGGCTGCTTCCAAGTCCAGGAAGGGAACCCTAGCATTGCTATTTGCTCCTTCCTTCCTGCTCCTTGTGCTGAGCTTTTATTAATATTTGCCTGCTTGGATTTCAGGCTGTGCTGAGCTTTGTGCTTTTCCCTGTCATCACAAGACTGGAAACTTCCCCTTTTCAAGTTAAAAGTAACTACGACTCTCACATGGTCCCTTGATACAAACAAGGGGGTTCAAAACAGGAATATACTTTCCCAGCGTGTTCCCCATTAACCTCCAGCACTGCCAGAGCAGCAGCAGCAGCTCCTGTTTCATGGTGAAGGGCATTCCTGTTATCTGAGCAGCTGGATTGTAGGAGACAAAGGAGCAAAGTGGTGCCAAAGTGTCTGCCTAGGCTGATAAACAGCTGAGTACATGCCTGGCACAAACTTCCTGGGATCTTGCCCAGGATGTGATCCCTGCAAGGTGGTGCAGGGAGTGCGTCTGTGTGTTCCTGTGTTTTCCATGGATCTATGTGGATTTGTTACCCCTGGATAGAGGTTATTTCTGTAGAGGTGGATGTGTCTGAGTTAGGGAAAGGAGGCTGGGCTGGGTGTGTGCTGAGCTACCAGTGGAAGAGAGATGATGTGTGCATGTAGGGATGAGGGATTTAAGAGTATCCTGCATTTTTCATGGGTGGGTCAGGTATGAAGCACTTCTACAAAGATAGGCTGAGAGAGCTAAGGCTGTTCAGCCTAGAGATGAGAAGGTTTTGGGGAGGCTTTGGCCTTCCAGTACCTTAAAGGAGCTTATACAAAGGAGGGAGAGTGACTTTTTACACAGGCAGATAGTGACAGCACAAGGAACAATGGTTTTAAACTGATGGAGAGCAGGTTTAGATTAGATATGAGGAAGCAATTCTTAACTAAGAGGGTGTGAGCCCCTGGCATAGGTTTTTCAGAAAAGCTGTGGCTGCCCCACCCCTGGAAGCGCATGAGGCCAGGTTGGACAAGGCTTGGAGCAGCCTGGTCTAGTGGAAGGTGTCCCTGGATGAGCTTCATGGTCCCTTCCTACCTAAACCATTCCAGGATTCCAGTTGTGTGTGTAAGAGGGGATGTGTATGGGCAGTGGTGGAGCAATGGGTGTGGGGATTCCTTTCTCACCTGGGTGTAGACCAGGGGGATGCTGATCCAGTCGTATCCATAGAGTTTCCCACACTGGCTGCGCAAGGTGTTGAGCTCCTGCAGCAGGGAAAAGGGAATGGCATGTCAGGATTACTTCCCATCTCCTTGCAGAGCCTCTCCAGCACCACTGTTCTCCATTGCTCCAGCCCTCTTCCTTGTGCTTATACCTTCTCTGGTAGGGGAGCTCAGTCTCAGCCTTGGAGGAATTCCCTGCTGAGTGTCTCCCCCTGAGCCCAAGATCCCTTCTTAGCTTGCTTCACAGCAGAGTTTCTCCTCACAAAATGAGCAGCCAACAGGTGAGGCAAAGAATACCCTCAGGAGCAGCCATTTCTCTCTGCTGTCTATAGGCAAATATCCCAGAGGAAGATCTCCCTCCCTGTGGGCAGATGAATTCTGCTCCAGGCAACAGAAACCACATGACTTTTTCTGCACATGAATACCAAGAAGGATGAGCTGCTCCAGAGCCTTTTTCTGTGCAGCTGGGCAGGGATTATTGCCAAATCTTGCCTGTGTAGCAGGCATTGCCCAAAATTATCTCAGAGTTTTTAATAAAAATGTTTTCTACAGGACCTCAGTTGTTGAGTATGTTTTTGACCTCTCCTAGACTTCCAGATACATTCTTCCTTGTGGCTTTCCATCTGGATTGCAGAAACCTCCACTGGCATTGGCTGTTCTGGAATGTGTCAAGGACCTGCTTCACAGGTGCCTCCCATTGCCCAGGATCTCAAAGACCTGCCTGTCCCCTCTGTCACTCACATTCAGGATGCCTTGGAGCAGCACGCTGTCCCGGATCCTCCCGTCATTCCTCGCCTTCACAGCCAGGTTGGAGAACCACACGCATGGGATCCAAAACTTGTTGTGGGGGGAATTCAAGCTCTCAAACTTCTTGTGCTCTTCTGGTGTCATGAGACCTGGATGGAAAAGAGCAGATGGGAGAAGGACAGCTATAGAGGGCAGGAGGAACTGATCTGGTCTGAAATGAAAACATCTGAATCTCAGGTGGATGCCTTGGCTCTCCCTAAAAACCCCAGTAAAGACTCAGAACCTGGCGAGTCATGCAGAAGGACAAGTCTCCTTGTTAAAACATTAAGTCATGGAAGGGGGATAATGGGATTTCACTTTGGATGTCTGCAGCACATCAGATCAGAGGCATCAGGGAGGTAAAGCACTGCTGAGGGTGCAGCTGCCTGGTGTCCATAGACACTGGTTGAGAATGGGATAACTTGTGTCCCTGAAGTGCCTTTTCTTTTTAGGAGGCAAACAATATCACATCTCGGTGGATTTCCAAGGGAAACCAGACAATGTGGGCCGAGTGGGAACTGCTGCACCTTGAGGAACATCTCCCAAGAACATTCAGAGTGCCCAGCAGTTAAGCTCAGAGACTTGGGGCTCAAATTCCCACCGGCCTAGAGGGAACAGCACCACTCCATTTCCAAAGAACCTTTCCCAGGCGCCCCTGCCCCTAGAGGAGCAGCGAGGAGCAGTGCTGACCTGCCCTCACGACGTGCTCCATGCTGGGGAAGCGCTTGTAGACAGCGGTGCTGACGGAGCGCAGGATCAGCACGCTGACCAGGTTGCTGTAGCGCATCAGGGTGCGGCGCAGGAGCCTCCCATACTCGTCCTCCCCATCCACATTGCAGGACACCAGGTTCATGATCCGGTCTGGCCATGGGATGCTTTCGTACTGGGCCCACCAGCGGGACACCACCAGGGCCACGTAGAAACCTAGAGGGGAGCTGAGAGAGTCAGGCATCTGAAAAGAGCTTCCTCCTGCTCTGTCTGCTCTCCTTCTTTTCTGCTCACACAGGGATGGGTGCAGGAATGTCTAGAGGGGAACAGTCCTCTGTGCTAAAAGGAGTCTGGATTTCATACTTTGCTTCATAGAACCAGAACAGTTTAGGTTGGAAGGGACCTTAAAGATGATCTCATTCCAATCCCCTGCTGTGGACAGGGACATCTTCCACTAGACCAGATTGCTCAGAGCTCCATCCAGTGTGGCCTTGAAAACTTCCAGGGATGAGGCAGCCACAATTTCTGTGGGCATATCTGGTGCCACTTGGAGCTTGCCCTCCTGTGCTGGGGGACATTCACAGCTGTGACAATAAAGGATATTTCCCGCTTGAGGAATTTTACAAAGGCAGGGGGAGGCACTTGCTCTGCCAGCAGAGCTCTGCCGAACCAAGGAGAAGAAAAGCTGTCCCATTCCCCTCCCTGCTGGATTCCAGACAGCTCCTTACCCAGCACGAAGGATACAGGGATTAGCTCGGCGTAGCTGTTGCAGTACAGCGCCAGCTTCTCAAACATCAGCCTTTGGCTCTCGCTCAGAATCAGCCTAAAAGGGAAAAACAGAAGCAGTTCTCCCTCTCCCTTCTCTCCTTTCTCCCCTTCCCTTCTGGGAACAGAGTCTGGCAAAGGCCTGACCAGCAGGATCCCAGTCCTGTGTTTCTCCCGTGTCCTGCCCCAGGCCAGGCTGTGCATGTGAAGTTGCTCACCTGTAGACAAGGCTGATGGTGAAGTAGAGCGAGATGAAAATCAGGAACTCTGAGTAGAGCAGTTTGTAGATGCTGCCTTTCCATTGGAGCAGGAGCTGGGAGAAGGTGCCCAGGCGGGCATCAGCCACACGGTTGGTGTAGGTCACTGTCATCACAGCTCCTGTGCAGGCACACAACAAGCAGGGCTTGGAGTTTGAGCAGGAGGAGGACACAGGGACACCCCAAGTGTCCCACCAAGCAAGATGGAAAGGAAGGAGAAAACAGAATGAGCTGAAATCAAAAGCCAGGTAAAATGGAGGCAGTAGCACAGAGAAGCAGGAGGCAATTGATGGCAGGCAATAATTTGATGAGTTTGACATCTTTTCTTTGTTCTTGAGCTGGTTATAGTGACCAAGGATGTTTTTAGTGTTTGATTCTTGTCATCATTCAAGTGGGGCTGGTTGGTTAGAGAGGACTAAGCCCACGTGCCACCCCCTTCCACAAAACACTTTTGGTAATCTCAGGGTCATAAACTCCAAAGTTTATGCTTGTCCCAGTAATTTTCTAAGTATAGTTTTTTGTTCTATATATATTTCTGTAAACCTAATTGCTGGGAAACATCTTCCTGGAATACTGCTGGGAAAAATTCCCCAACCCAAAGGAAAGGAAAAACCCCAGAAAATTTTCTTGGGATTGATCCAATTGATGAAGGCATCCCAGCAAGGATAGCTGTCTGTGCTCTGCTGGTCCTCTGCAGGCAGAGCAGCCCTCCCTGTTGGAGATCTGTGGGATGGAGTTTGGCCAGGTCCTCTCCTTCAACCATATGTTGCACGATAATCACAGTGTCTGAAAAAGAGGCATTTGGGCTCCTGAAATGCTCCCCAGACATGCAGCATACCCATTTCACTTCTAGTCTAAGTTGCATAAATAATTCTTTATAATCAATTAATAATCAGACTCATAGTTGCATAAACCTGAATTTATTTCAAAAATACCCCATCAAACAAGACACCAGTGTTATCCATGCCAGGCAGATTGGTGAATAATTCCTTGGGTTAGAAATAATTATCCAGTGTGAAACTATTGGTATTTCTGAATCCTAACATGTCACTAGGCATTGCTATTTAACAGAGGTAATAATGTTAATGATTATAGGTCTCTGGGCTCTTCCCTGAGTGATGGGGACAAAGAAACACTTCAAGGGGCAGTTCACACCCTGAAGCAGCTGAAGGCAGGTAAGTTTGGGCCCATGTTCCTCCTTTGTTTCTTATTTAAGCATCCCAGTGGAAGATTTACACTTAGGTGGGGACAGCTCAGGTCCCAGTGAGCTGCTGCTGTGAAGAAAACCAGTGAAATCTAGATTTCCGGCTATTTCAGCCAAGCAGCATCTTTGTCCTGGGTTTGGTTTTTTGATGCTGGTCCTCCTTTGGGTTTCCCTGTCATCACTCAGGTCCCTGAGTCTCCTCTTAAGCGTGATATAGAGGAGCAGAGCTGTCCCTGTCCCCAGCTGCACAACTGCCCATTTCAGTAAATCCGTGTATCCATTCCATACGGATTTCTGGGCACAGAGCTTGGAAGAGTGGATTTTAACTGCCCCAGAGGTTGCACACACGGGCTGTCCAGAAGAGAAAAGCATGCCCAAAACCCCATACATTTTTGGGGCCCCTTATACAAAGCTGTATCTTTTCTCTGGGCTTTGGGGCTCGAAAGCACTCAGGGAGATTCTTTGTTGCGTAATTCAAATACAGATTCCCTTTTTTACCAAAGAAGGAAAACTCCAGCTCTTGTCCATGTAAATAATGGATGTCGCCCACCTCTACTCTGTTCTGCTCCCATGTGGGATATGGGGCTTTTCCCAGTGCTTTTCCCTCCAGCCCTGAATGGTTAAAGGCACCTTTCTGCCCAACTGCCAGCCTGTGCTGGGCTGCCCTGGGATGTCACTGGGCAGCTGGCACGTTCCTTTTGTGGCTGAGGTCTGTGGGAGGTGGCTCACTGGCACACTGGAGTCGGGATGGGCAGGAAGAGCCCACACCGGGAGCTGCTGCCTGCCACTGCCTGCATCCCCTGCTCATCCCTCTGGACTAAACAACACACCTGGAAGTCGACTGACCTGGAATTCAGCTGTGGGAGCCCACAGCAAGCAAGATTCTGGGACATCAGGTGCATCACCCACCACAAACAGACCCGTGCAGGTATCGCAAAGACAATGAGCAGGCAATGAGCAGACAGAGCAGAGGGACAGAAACAGAGGAGGTCACGGATAGGCAGGAAGATGGATCTCTGTGGGAGAGAGCGATCCTCCCGCTGCTGTTAGGAGGACCAGATACTCACAGTCATGGGCTCCTGAGCCGTGCTGGAGGCTGGGGAGGTTTGGTCCTGCACGTGTCCCCGCTGGGTCCTTTGTGGCCCGGGCCACCACCCACCTCCTCGTGCCCCCTTGGCTCATAGGGGGATTGGACCTGCCCCACACGGTGTGCTAAGGAGCCTGAGACCCACTTGGGAGCTGCAGCCGGTCACTTGATGCTGTAATCCCTCCTCATTACAAAAGAGACTCTGTTGTCTTTTGCCCTGTTCCCTCCTAATCTTCTGAGTAAGCCCTGCGTGTTTATAGAGGCGGCCGGAGGAGGGGGAGGCAGGGCTGGCTGCTCCGCTGCTGCTAACTCCTGGCACAGCCATGGTGGCTGCCAGAAGAGAGGCATTTTTCCTCTTAATTCTTTCCTGTTTGGTCCCTCTCTCTGTGTCACAATCTTACAGGAACCCCAGGAGATTATGCAGGGCTGGAATTTTCCACCAAGGCTGTAAAATGCAGCATGCTTGGCGGCTGCCCTCTCTTCCCTAGGTCAGTGAAATACCTGGTCCATGCTCTGCCTGGCTCTCACAGGATGTTTCCTCATCATCCCTCACTGTCCCTGGATGAGTTTGCCACCTCTTCTGGCTGTGGTTTGGATGTTGGGGATTTCCACTCTGCCACTGGCTCTCTGAGACTCTTTCCATGTGTTTGCTTTATTTTACTCTTGCTTTTCCAGTAGTGCTTGAGAGCTGTCACTGTGCTTCCTTGCGTGACATCCTGGGAAACACTGGTCCTTGCCTTGCCCTCAAATTTCCACCAAGCCAGGGTCCTTAGTCCCTTTTCTGCTCCTTCCCAATTGTGACCATCCTTCCACCACCTCCTCAATGCCTCTGTTCAGATCCTTAGGATATTCCCCTTCCAGGAGGCTCTGAATCAAAATATTTTCTTAACAAACTGGTCTTCTATCATTTAGGCAGCTGTGGGACACTGTGGAGAGGGAGCACAGGTCTGAACCTTGCAGGTAAGAGCAGCAGGAGACCCAGGCTCCTGTAATAATCAACTTTCTCTTGTGCTTTGTCTTTGACACTTATTTAACATTGGTAGTTGGGATCAATTTGTCCCAGTTGTAGTTTTCTCCTTGCTGTGGCCGATCCTTGACAAGGAAAATGGGTTTTTTCACTGCAGGAGCAGAAGCTGCCCGACATCTGCCTCATGTGGGCTTTCTGGCGCTGTCCTGGGAATTGCTGCCAGTGGCGAGGTGATCATCATTTAAAACGTGGGATTCAGTGCTCTGTGAAGGGAAATAAGAGCATCCCCCCTCTCTGAAGGGGATGCGGTCCACTTCCAGGGATGGAATTGGTGAACAGGCAGGCTGAGGTAGATCTCGAGGGGATTTAGTGCCTGAGCCCTCATCCCCACACACAGCAGGGAGACCAAAATGCTTCAGGTGAGACATTAGCTGCAGCTGTTGGGAGCAGTTTGGCTGCTCCTGGGAACATGGAACAACAACTCCCTGAGTGTCCTGCTGTTTGTGGAGGGATGTGCTGGCATCTGGGGGCCTCTGCTGCCCTCCTCTGAGAGCAGTTCTGCTGGCAGCTGGTGTGCTCCACAGCTGCCCTTGGGACAGCAGGAAATATGTGTGGAATTTAATATTAAAGTAAATAACTGAGGGGCTACCAGCATGGCAGAGCTGCTTGGATCTCTTTCCACATCCCTGTGGCCTCATACCTTGAGGCAGAGGTTGGTCTGAAAGCCAGCCTTTCTCAGCAGAGCAGGAAGAAAAGAGGTGCTGACATCCATCCTCAGCCTCAGAGCCCTGGAATCATCCTCATTTTCTCCATGCTAAAGATGTAGAGATTGAATTGCTGTGCTGGGAGTTGAATCCCCATTTTGGGAATGCCAAAGGGCCTCTCTCAATGCTGAGTTAGCAGCAGCTAAAGCTGGAAAGGCACAGTGCTCTCCTTGCTCTCTCCCAGAGAATAGTAAGTGGTTTTAGGGACAGCATATCCCAAAGCTTGGTGAAATCCCTTTCCCTTCTCCAGTTTCAGTGCTGGGATAGACACAGAAGCAGCTGGCATCAGAAGTATCTCTCCAAATTACATTCTTCCTTGGAATCTGATGCGATTTTTAAAAAATTGAAGTGGGATGTGTCTGGGGAGATGCTGTTTTCCATGGATAGGGCTTACTCAGATGTTTGAGCTGGCCAGAAATATTTGAAGAGGATACAGTGACCCTGCAGTGCTTTTATGAGGACCCCCAGGCTTTCTCCCCTTATGCTGCAGAATTCCTCACTAATTCTGTGCCATCCTGGGCTGCCCTGGGAGCTGGGGGTGCCTGTCCCTGTGCCAAGCTCCATCTGACCCTTTGCATTTTGCTTTTAGGGGCTTGGATGGTGACAAATATCTCATTTTCCCTCTGATGTTCCACAGTTCAGTGCATACAGCATGAAAATGAGGGGAGGGTCCTTAGTGAGGTCCCTCTTCTCTTGCCTTAGGAATTGTGGTGGGGATTAGGTGCCAAAGGAAGGATCAAATGTGCTGGTGCTGGAAATCAGAGACCTCAGAGGAGCCTTGCTGCAGCCCTTGCAGCCAGCTAAGCAAACGTGGCAAAGCCAAGGAGCCAGCCAGGAGGGGGTGGATAGAGCCTGGAGTTTTAGGCCATTTGTTCTCCTTTCCACGGCAATAACATCCGGTTTGAGTTTGCTGGGTCTTTTTCCTGTCCTCCCTTCTTCCCACTTTCCTTTCCCTTTTCCTTTCTCCTTTTCTTTCTTGTCATTTCCCCTTCTTCTTTCCCCTTCTTCTTCTTTCCCCTTCTTCTTTTTCTTTCCCCTTTCTCCTTTCTTTCTTGCTTCTCTTCTGGGAAGAAGAGGGGAGCACATGCCACTCTCCCCCTTCTGACAAGTTACTTTTTCAAGTGGCTGGGATTCAGCATCTCCAGCACATCCCTCTCAAAGCTTCCTGTCAGCACTATCAGTTCTCATCCTTCCTGCCTTTGTTGGCTCCTGGAAGCACTTCTGTCTTTCTAATCCGAAGATCCTCTGTCGCTGCTGGCCAAGCCTTGGGAGTTAATAATTACAAAGACTAACTACTTCTGGTGCTACTTTGCAGAGCTGAAGATCTTTCCCCTCCTCCCAAAAGTTCCCTGAAGATAGCAAAGGTTGCAGCCAGAGACACAAACATCCAGGACACTCCGTTCCCAGCCTTCAGAGCATGGGCTTGGCCCGTGCTGTCCCTGTGGATCCTGGCCATGAGGCAGGGCAGGGCTGGAGGTGACACCCAGGAGATGGCTGGGACAGAGAATTGCTCCCCGTGTGGCATCCACAGCAAAATCCGCAGTGGACACAAGGATCATCATGTCTGACTCTCCTGCCTCCGGAGTTGGGTCTGTCCCAGAGGCAGAGGCTGGACAAGCTGAGAGCAGGGAGGGAGCTGTCACTGTGTGTGAAGGCTCCAAAGGCATACGGCTACCTGGAGGGAATTCCAGGGCAATGGCAAGGTAGGATGTGATGGGAAATGTCCTCTGAGGGCAGGAGCAGTTTTTCATTCAAAATTCCAATTCTGTCAGCCCACAGGCGGCAGTGGGATCCACTGTGGAACAGGGGTGACAGTAGGAGTGGGCTCCGAGCCCAGTGCTCCCCTTGAACTATAAAAACCCTGGACAGTCAGCAGCCTTTCCCCCCCCAGCCAGATTTCCCCCATCCTTCCACCTCCCTGCATTTACATCCCAGGTTTTCCCTCTGTACTGGCTTTGTGCGGTACCGTTTTGGTAGTGGAGGGCTACAGGGAAGCAAAGATCCACCTTCAGCCCGCGGAGGAGCCCACGATGGAGCAGAGGCATGCCCTAAGGAGGCTGTGACCCCACAGGGAGCCTGTGCTGGAGCAGGGTCCTGGCAGGACATGTGGAGAGAGAAGCCCACGCTGGAGCTGCCTATTCCTGAAGGGCCGACCCTGTGAAAGGGACTCACGCTGGGGAAGTGCATTAAGAGCTCCTTGGAGGACTTCTCCTGTGGGAGGAACCCCGGGATGGAGCAGGGGCGGAGCGTGAGGCGTCCTGCTCCTGAGGCAGAAGGAGCAGCAGAGACAGCAGCCCCCATTCCCCATCCCGCTATCGGGAAGGAGGCGGAGGAAGCCAGGATCGATTCCGAGCCGGGGGCGAACAGCGGAGCGGAGGGACGGATGTTGGACATTTCCTTTGACCTCCTGACAGCCTCGCATTGAGTTGATGGGTGACAAGCCCCGGTAATTCCCAGCTCCGGCCGTCCCGCCCGTGCCGGTGCCCGC